TAGTTCAAAAAGATTATTATTTTTATATTGTTGTATTGATGCTATTACCCAAATAAATGGGCGTTGTACTTCTCCTACCACTGGAAGATTTTTTAGGTTGAAAAAACAAACAAAAAAAGCCAAACATGTGTCTTATAAGTTCTTCTTCTCAACACAGCCTTTATCCAAGGCCAATTTTATTTTGGCTGAACTGGTTTTGTCCTCTCGCAGTGCCAAAGAGGGGCCTGCACAGTTCCACCACCCCAAGAGCATGTGGACCAGGCCTTTATCCCCGACAGAATCAGCAGGACAGAGGTGCGTGAGCTCAACTTCTCTGTTTTCATCTTATTTCAGCAGGGATTAAATCTCAAAACTCACAATATCAACACAGTTGAGACTTTTTATTCCTGCTTTTGATGTGCAGTGGAGCAGAACGCATAAGGGCAAAAGAACACGAGCTTTTTATTTTTGAAAGGTTGTTATTAACTGGAGTGTGTTTTCATGTAGCTGGACCTGCTTTATGAGGAAGCTGTGTACACGGTGGTCAACAGGGTTGGAGTGTCCTCACCCGAACATGTGAAAAGTGACGATGAGCTATTTGCTTACCTGCTGAAGGTATCTATTTGTCTGTCTGTCTGTCCGTCCATCTGTCTTTTTCTCTGTCTCGTGGACACATGAGAAGAGCAGACTGTATTTCTTGAGCTTCATTAAATCTCTGTCAGTAACACTGATGGTAGCCTCAGAGAGAGCGTTATTTGTTGTGAGCGGGCTGTAAGAATCAGAGCAGATGCTCTTGGCTCAAAACTGATTAAACATCAAAGCCCAGTCACACTGTGTACTGATATTCAGCTGTTATATTACATTCATTCAGATGATGTCGTGCTAAGAATCGTAGTCTCCTTTTGTTTTTTTCTGCGGCATCTTTTTCTGGCTTTCTTGTTTTAACAGAAGGTTAGCTTCTGCCAGGGACTTTGACCGAATTATGTTTTTTATATTTCTGAGATGGTTTGTTAGATTTAAGCAGTAACTCTGTTATCTATTTTGTAGGTTTTAATCTTGCTACCTAAGAAACTCTAATTCAGATATGGTTAAAAGGTCTTTTTTGACTGACACTCTCCTCCTTAAAGGTTTTTGATATGGGTGAGGAAGAACATGAAATCATTCTCCAAAAAGTTCAAGAATCCAAGGTGAGATTTGTTTGTGGTGTTCAAGCAAATTTTGTGTCTTCTGTTATAGGACAGGCAGAATTCAGCTGCAGTATTGTGTGACTTATATCAAATATGCTTTTTTCGGGTGAGCCTTTCCCGATATCCCTAAGTTAAAGTGAAACATTGTAGAAAAAAAAAAATCAGCCATGCCCTCACAGGAGGTGCAGAAACCGAGCACAAAAACAAAAATATGTCCAAAATTTGTGTTTGATGTGCCATCAAAGGCACAGGAGCGCAGGGAACAGTTCACAACCCCTCAGGGGGCCGACCCGGAGGGTGATGGTCCAGAAATCCATAGTTTGTTAGATCCGGGGGCCGGCCCGGAGGCCGACGGCACAGGAGTTCATGATCAAACGGTTCAGGGGGCCAGCCGTGCGGACGGCAGTGGCGGCGATGGAGCAGGTCCGGGGGCCGCCCACAACGGCCATGACGCCCAGCCAGTGGCCTGGAAAGTGGCCGGTGATGTCGAGGAGATGACCGTGGAAAAGCCAGCTGTGCTAGGCGTGGACGAGGTGGTGGCGTGGCAATAGCAGGACCAGACAAGGCAGGACCAGACGAGGCAGGACCAGACGAGGCAGGACCAGACGAGGGTGTGGCAGCTGCAGGCAAAGGAGCAGATGGCGGCGCTGCAAGCGGCAGCATGGAAGCCACAGGTGGTAGCTGAACGGACTCAGAGACGTCAGTAGACACAGAGAGATGCTGGATGGGTGCTCC